CATGTCTTAGAAGGGGAGGGATCAGTATTGTATTGTAGGACTTTGGACATGCCGACAAGTGACCCTGGAGAATCAGGGAAAGAAATTGTAATAAGGGCAAAACAGGCATTAAATCCAAGTGCCATTGTCAAAGAACATGATGAGTTACATGTCACTTTGAGATTTAAAACAACTCCAGGAGGTGATCCAGTTTACGATAAGCTTGTAAAAAAAATGGGTCCGCAGAGAGTTCAAATTAGAGACATTTACTGGAGAGACAAAACAAGTTTCTGCACTGTAGGAGTGGCAGATGCAGTAAAACAACTCATGGGAGATTTGCAGAATCCACATATCTCTATATCCAAGGACCCAGAGGCAATGTGGAGTGATAACAATGCCTTTGTTGGTCAAGTGGAATCAATTAGAGATTGGGAGCAAGATAAAGAAGTAGGAGTATACTGGAGTAAAACAACTGGTTGGAGAAAACAAAAAGTAAACTGGACAGTAGTATGTACGCCAGCTGTACATCTGACTGACCAGGAGCTTGCATGACTAATGACTCTAACACAGGAAGAGGAGGAGGAGCTTGAGCAAGTTCCAGATGAGGTGTGGTCAAAAGGACTCACAGATGTTGGGTTAATTAAGGGAATGTTACCAGTGGAGATCAGAGCAAAAACTGAGTACAGGCCCAGGATAAAACAATATCCTTTAAAACCTGATGCAGTAGAAGGAATAAAACCTGTAATACAGGATTTAATTAAAAAAGGAATAATTCAAAAATGCTCAGATTCCCCTTGTAACACACCAATATTCCCAGTTAAAAAGGCATCTCCATCGACAGCCTGGAGAATGGTTCAAGATCTGCGAGCTGTGAATGAAGCAGTTATTCAAAGAGCACCTAATGTACCAGATCCACATACACTGCTTAATCAATTATGACCAGAGGCTAAAATCTTCTCTGTGATTGATCTCAGCAATGCATTTTGGTCCATTCCAGTGCATAAAGACAGTCAATTTTGGTTTGCATTTACCTTTGAAGGGGAAAGATATGTTTTCACAAGATTAAGCCAGGGGTTCGCTGAATCCCCAACTATTTTCTCTGATGCAATAAAAAATTGTCTTGCTGATTTTAATCCACCGGAGGGAAGCCAGATTTTGAGCTATGTGGATGACATTTTGGTGGCGTCTAAGACAGTTGAGAGCTGTAAAAAAGATACTATAGCTTTACTGAAACATTTGGCTAAAACTGGCAATAAGGTCAGCAAAAATAAAATACAGTTATGGAAGACAGAAGTTAAATACCTAGGTCATACATTAACCAAAGATGGAAGGTTAATCCATGGGGAAAGAAAAGCTTCTATTTTAGCTGCACCTAGACCCGAAACAAAAAAACAGATGATGTCATTTTTGGGGTTATGTAATTATTGCCTTCTACTGTCACAACCACATGTGACCGTAGAAAGATGTCATACAGTAAATCCATCTACTCTAATTCCAACAGAAGGAGATGGCACTGCACATGATTGTGTTCAAGAAGCATATAAAGACTTCCGTCCAAGACCTGATATAAAGGACATGCCACTCTCTGGGGGAATTACAGTGTTTGTTGATGGCTCAGCAGGGAAAGATGAGTTTGGGAAAAATCATGTAGGATACTCGGTTACCACTGTGGATAAAACAATTGAAGCAAAAGTACTTCCAAGTAACTTATCTGCACAAGCAGCAGAATTAGTAGCTTTAACAAGAGCTTGTGAATTGCATAAAGATAAGAAATTAACGGTGTATACTGATAGCCAATATGCATACGCTACAGTTCATTTGTTTTGTCAACAGTGGAAACATCGTGGTTATAAAACTTCTGCGGGAAAAGATGTAAAACATGCAACATTATTAAAGAATTTACTCAAAGCGATAATGTTGCCACAGCAGCTTGCTGTATGTAAATGTGAAGCTCACACGAGAGGGACAGACAAAGTGTCAACAGGAAATGACAGCTGATAAAGCTGCAAAAGAAGTAACAGGATTACTGCTTAGTGAAGAAACACAAGATTCTGATGATATTTTAAAAGAAATGCAGCAACAAGCGCCAAAAGCAGAAAAAGAGAAATGGCTTAAAGTAAGTAAGTAAGTAAGTAAATTTTATTTATAGAGCACCTTTCACAGATAAAAATCACAAAGTGCTGTACAGGGTAAAAGCAAATAAGTAAATACAATGGAAATAAGACAACAACAAAAACAAAAAAAAAGAAACTAACTAAAAGCTGCCCTAAAAAGAAGTGTCTTTAGTCCCTTTTTAAAAGCATCGACAGAGTTGACCACACGGAGGGACAGAGGCAGAGCGTTCCACAGTCTGGGGGCAACGGACTGGAAGGACCGGTCCCCCCGGGTCTTATAGCGGGTCTTTGGGACCGCAAGTAAATTCTGGCCCGTGGACCTGAGAGTGCGGCCAGAATAGTGTGGGGTCAAGAGGTCCGAGATATAAACGGGAGCCTGACCATTTAAGGCTCTGAAAGTTAAAACCAAAATTTTAAAATCAATACGTAAATTGATTGGGAGCCAATGAAGTGAGGGACAGGACTGGGGTGATGTGAGACCACCGGGGGCTTCCTGTTAAAAGTCTGGCAGCGGAGTTTTGCACAATTTGTAGTCTGTTAAGAGCACTCTTATTAAGACAAGTAAACAATGAATTGCAATAGTCAAGACGTGTGGAAACAAAGGCATGAAGGAGCATCTCCAAGTCCTTCTGCGACAATATTTTCCGGATTTTAGATATGTTTCTGAGATGATAAAAGCAGTTTCTGACGAGCTGTTTGCAGTGTGTGTCCAGATTTAGGGCCTGATCAAAAACAACCCCCAGGTTTCTGAGGGGGGATGTGACAGAGGAACCAAGTGAACCAAGGTGCTGTTTGATGTCTTGAATCTTATTGTCAGGAGCAAAAATCAGGGTTTCGGTCTTGTTAGAATTAAGCTGCAGATAATTTGTGGTTAACCAGCCTTTGATCTCGGACACACACTCTAAGAACTGGGAGATAAGGTGAAATTCAGTGTCTTTAAAAGAGCAATACAGTTGGACATCATCAGCATAGAGATGATAAGATACATTCTTAAAACGATCGATAATTTTCCCAAGAGGTAAGAGGTATAATAAAAACAATAAAGGGCCCAGAACAGACCCTTGGGCAACACCATAAGAAAGTTGAGACACATCAGACACAATATCATTCACTGCAACATTGAAAGTTCTTCCACAAATATATGATGTGAACCATTTAAGGACACAACCAGAGAAACCCATCGTCTTTTCAAGGCGATTTATCATAATACTGTGATCCACAGTGTCAAAAGCAGAGGTCAGATCTAGCAAAACCAATATTGTATAGCGACCAGAATCTGCCGCCATCAACACGTCGTTAGAAACTTTAACAAGTGCAGTTTCTGTGGAGTGCAACTTTCGAAAACCAGACTGAAAAGAGTCAAACAGATTGTGTTGCTCCATGAATGTGGTTAGCTGGTTTGCAACAACTTTCTCCAAGATTTTAGCAACAAACGGGAGTTTCGATATAGGTCTGTAGTTTTTTGGCTCTGAGGGGTCAAGATTGGGCTTTTTCAGAGTGGGGCTTACAACAGCATGTTTAAAATAGCTGGGGACAGTGCCAGACTCTAAGGATAGATTAAACAGTTGCACCAGACAGGGGCCAAAGACTTCAAGCTTTTTTAAAAGCAAGGATGTAGGAATAATATCAGCAGGACTCGATGATAGTTTCATTTTGCTCACGACAGCCTCCATCTCCTGTAGGCTGACTGGAGTAAAGGCTGACCAGGAGCACACCTGAGTGACCTCAGACGCACAGACATCAATAAGTGACGGGTTTATACTCGCTCTGATGTCCTCTACTTTGTTCACAAAAAAGTTTAGAAAGTTATTACAGTCCTCTTGTGAGTGCACGGGCACAAGAGGGGCCAAGGGTGCCATAAGACGTTCAATGGAGTCAAAGAGAACTTTTGGGTTTCTCTTATTACAAGAAATGAGGTTTGAAAAATAAGTTGAGCGAGCGAGCTTTATCTTCCCATTTAGCTCAAGCATCATCTCTTTAAGGTGGAGTCTGTGCACTTCTAATTTTGTGGATTTAAACAGGCGTTCCACTTTCCGGCACTCTCTCCTAAAGCTGCAGATATCCTCATTTAGCCATGGAGCAGGTTTATTCTGTGAACCAGACACCTTTTTAACAGGTGCCACAGTATCCAACACAGACAGGCAGTGACTGTTAAAGCTTGTTAAAAATGTTTCCACATCATCATTACAATCAACAAAAGGGCTAAGGTCAAGAGAAACAACAAACCTATCACATGTAGCTTCATTTATAAAGCGTTTTGTGATCGCAGTATTGCGGACGACAGGCTCCACTCTAGATGACACATTAAAAGAAATACAACAATGGTCACTTATTTGAAAGTCCTCAATATTCAGTTTATCAATGACCAGTCCACATGAGAAGACTAAGTCCAGAGTATGACCCTTGTCATGCGTGGGACCAGAGACATGCTGGACAAAGTTAAAAGAGTCCATAATAGTTAATAGTTCTGCTGCATCAGAGCATGATGCATCATCAGTGTGTAGATTGAAGTCCCCAAGGATCAGGACATTTTCTAATTTAATGATGGAGGACAGAAAATCTGCAAAATCCTGAAGAAAGGTGCGTGCGGGGCCAGGAGGACGATAAACCAAGATGCAGTAATAAAAGTGTGATTTTCCAACCTTACACATCTGTAGCTCAAAAGAGTTGAATGAGGGCGCGTCCATTTGGCTGCAGCAGAAGGAGTCCCATGTAACCAGCGCTAGTCCTCCTCCGCGCCGTCCCGTACGGGGAGTCGCGAAGACGGAACAGTCAATGGGGCAAAGTTCCTTAAGATGAATAATCTCATTTTCCCGTTGCCAAGTCTCCGTGAGGAACATGAAATCCCACTTCTCTTTAGAGTACAGGTCGCTCAGAATAAAAGCCTTATTGGTAATAGAGCGCACGTTAAGCAGAGCCATCCTGACGGTGCGCGCGCGCACGGCGTGCACTGAGCTGGTGCTTCCAGCAGCGGCTGGGCCGCGGGATCCACCTGGCGAGGTACTGGGCACAGAACACGCGGGCGTACGGAGGAAACACGGGCGTAGCGGTCAGGAAAACACCGGTCAGAGACACTCCCTTCTGGCGATGACGCACGGGCAATATCCCCAACGAGCTCGTTGACAGGAACCGGTCTCAAACACCGCTGGCATTTTGGAGCTCCGACATCAGGCGGCCACAAAGATGATCCGCCAAATCGCCACCTCTTCAGCCTGGTCTGGACCCCAGCCCTGGTTCCCCTCCTGCGTCTCCTGCTCCGGCGTTTGGTCACAAGCAGGTAATCCGGCAGTGAGAGACAGCTGTCAAAATTTGGAGGGAAAAACTCTGTGTATCTGTCCCAAGAGGAAGAGTGCTCCTCTATGTTTGTTTTAAGACGAAGCAGTGTCTGGCGATCATACTGAATGATTGCTGCAACGCCACTGTGTGTCGATAGGACTGACACTATGAGATAAAACGCTAGAATAACCGCAGAAACACGAATAGTTAGAGCGGGCAGGGCGGTAGCAGGAGCGCAGCCGAACACAGGCGCCATCTCGCGAGATCTCACTGATTAAAGAGGGAGCTATATTCAATGGGAGTTTGTACATGGGTCCAAACGATAAGCCAGTTCTACCTAAATCAATGTTTAAATGGGCGGCTTTAGTGAGCCACGGAGTAACCCATGTTTCTTCTGCAAGTATGTGTGGATTGGTGAACAAATATTACACAACATATGGGTACAATTTATACTCAAAACATTTTTGTAATCAGTGTGTAATCTGTATAAAACACAATTCACAAGGAAATATGAGACCAAAAAGGGGGGTATTTCCTAAACCCACACATCCTTTTGAAGAAATCCACATGGACTTTATCCAGTTAAATAAAGTGAACAATTTGGAATATTGCCTCGTGATTATTGATGCATTTTCCAAATGGGTAGAATTGTTTCCTTGTCACTCTCCGGACGCTCTAACAGTGGCTAAAGCAATATGTAAAAGAATTGTGCCAACATTTTCGAGTCCCAGAGTTATCAGGAGTGACAATGGAACACATTTTGTAAATGATGTGATTGATAAGGTGGGAAAAAATCTCAACATAAATCTAAAAAGACATTGTAGTTACCATCCACAAAGTGCAGGTTTAGTTGAAAGAAATAACGGCACTATTAAAGCTAAATTGAGGAAATGCATGGAGGAAACAAACAGACAATGGCCTGAATGCATAGACTTGGTACAGTTAAGCATGCATATAACACCTACTCAGGGTAGTGCCTTGACACCATTTGAAATATTATATGGTAGGTCATACACACTTCCAGATTTACAGCCAAATAAGCAGTTCTCTCCTGATGATAATCCGACGTTGGCTGACTATATGAGAAAAACATTATTGACTAGAGCGTGTCAAGAAACAAATAATGTTCCGAGTCAACCATTTTGTGCACAGGAGCTGCCTGTTCGAGTTGGAGACTGGGTGTTTGTGAAAATCATCAAACGAAAGTCCTGGTCCAGTCCACGGTGGGAAGGTCCGCATCAAGTGCTTCTGACGACACCCACTGCTGTGAAGATAGCAGAAAGGCCCACGTGGATTCACCTCTCACACTGCAAAAAGAGAGATCTGAGAGATCTTGTGTCAACCACAGCGGAGGGGAAGGCTGACCTACAAAGGGGGGCAGACTGCTCGTCTCAACAGTCAGTGAAGCAGGGAGATCCTCCAGTGGTTTAATGCACAAGAAACACAGTTTGTACAACTTGATGATGTGCTAGTAACCTCTCATCTTGTGATATTGGTGAATTGGACTGTTTCAAAAAGGACTGTTTACAAGATGGTCTTCAAAGTATTCTCCACTCGACATGGACTTCGATGCAGTAGTGGTCTAATAATGCTGATTACATTGATAGTTATTGTGGTTCCATCACTGCTCTGGTGGGGGAGTCAACAATATAACAATGTCAAGCGTACAGCTAGAGCAGAAATAGATGTAGATCACTATAAAGACAACTACTGGTATCGCATGGCTGAAATAACAGCTCAGGCAAACAATATGTCAGATTGTTATGTTTGTGCATTTGTTCCTTGTTCCTTCATTCAAATTCAAATCCTTATATAACACCACATCCAGTCTCAGCTTTAACAACTATATGCACTATGGCTTTTTATACCTTACATTCAATTGGCATGAACTACTCTAAATATGTCGAATGGCTGCCAAATTGCACTACTCTTCCAATTCAAAAGGTAGCAGATTGGAGAGTTCCATTGAACTTATCTTTAAGTACAAATATGACTAATGAGAAAGGTGTAACTGTGGCTCGATTTCCAGCCAATTCTCCTCTGTGTCTGAGTAGGAAATGCAATGTGCCGGGGCCCTGGGAGGATGCTAACCAATATGTAGGAACATCCACCTGTGATGATGTTCTGCCTATTGCCACATATAACCAACAAACCTCTGAGATACATCACAGATTATACTTCACTACTACTCTGACCGCACGGGAGTTCCCAGTGATTAATTTCACTAAAGTGGGTGAGGTCAGTGGAGTGGCCAACTGGTACTCATACCCAGCTTTTTTGGTTGAGGTCCCGGGTTTTTGGGGCTATCCATGCCCGTCAAACCAGGTGTGGGTTTGTGGAGATAAAGTGTATCTGTGGCTTCCAGAGAGATGGTGTGGAACTTGTCATCTGGCCACCCTAGGTCCGGCCTCCGACATCATTTCAAGTGATAACTTGACACAGCACTTGGGCCAGAGGCAGAAAAGGGCTGCTGCCACAGCGGCCAGAAGCCCACCTTTAATCTCAGATGTAAGAGGAGTGTTCATGACAGCCCTTCCCATGTATGGAGTTGCTTATTTAAGTCATAGGATGAATGATATTGCATGGAATTTGGAGAATTTGACTAATATTGTCACGGACCTCACTGAACAAATCAGGGGAGATCCAGAGAAGGAGGCTATGCGTCAAATGATCATGCAGAATCGAGTAGCATTAGATTTTGTTTTATCTGAAACTGGTGGTGTGTGTCAGTTAATTAAGGATCATTGTTGTACGTTCATTCCATCATCCAACTCAAATTATTCACTAATTTTGGATCGACTAAAAAGTCTTAAAACTGAGATGCTAAGTGAGCGAGACAATGACAACATGAATTGGGACTTATTGTCATGGTTTTCTACTGGAGCATGGTGGCAACTGATATTGAAAATAGCGACACCTGCAATAATGATTTTGGTTTTATTTAGCATATTTGTCACTTGTTTGTTGCCATGTGCTAAGTCTTTAACCAACAGAATGATAAACACTGCAGTTGCAGACACATTGTTTTCGGATCAATGTCAAGCGTTGTTAGCTCACACAAATGTAAATGATGATTTTGATATTTCTATATAAGTGTAAGTTTGTTATGAAGGTATTGCAGAAAACTGAGAAGAGTTGTAATGCTGGATGTTGAAACTTTACATTTATATATTATGAATAGGGGAGAATTATGTCAATGGAGTATGTTATTGTGTTATTATCATATTAATAAATGTAACGTTTAGTCTAGGATCTAAAATCTAGTAGTAAGCAGAGTGAAGAATGTGTGAATCATCCCCCAGCCATTAAGCACAGGAAGTTAAATTAAGGCAAGAACCAGAGAACATCTGTTTAGAGTAGCCTCAGGCTTATTCACACAGGGGCTATTTGTGTGTCCTGAACAGAAAAGAGGTATTGTCTTCACCTAAGGATGTTGGGACATATGTCTTCAATTATCATGTCATGTGACTGTGTGCTTATCATCGATAGCCTGTTCCTGAAGCAGTGTCTTTTGCTTTTGGCTGGCCAGGGAGAGGACCCAGACTGGAGAACCAGTCTGCCATTTGTCTGTATCCTGTATCCTGTATTCTGTCTTTTATATATTAAACCTTTTTTATATATCTAAGCAGAATTTGTAGTGTACATTTATCATCGAAGGAGAAACCGTGGCTAAACCAGCGTTAACAGCAATCCTTAACTTCTCCAAATACCACGCTTTGTGAGCCCTGACCTGATGTCCTACTTCCACCTATAACGTAATCGAACATGTGCTTGAAGCAGCCACTTCTCGATTTAGGAGAGGAAGCTCCGTTTTTAAGAGTTGTAGTCCGTTTTGCTTTCGCAGCAATACTTCCGCCGTAAGCTCATTCACAATCACGTGACTGGATGACGTTGATGCATCTGGTCAATAGGATATGATTGCCATGATTTCCAGATATAAGGACGCAAAGGAAGGTTTCTCACCCATCATCTGTACTTCTTAGCAGGTTTTCCCGACGTTTTGTCCACAAACCAGCTGACTTCTTCAGGGAATGAATTCTCAGACCGCGCGTTGGAGATTTATAACCTATCCACACCCTAATCCTGATACTAACTCAGACTTGCGCGGTCTGAGAATTAATTCCCTGAAGAAGTCCGCTGGTTTGAGGACGAAACGTCGGGAAACCTTGCTAAGAAGTACAGATGATGGGTGAGAAACGATCCTTTGCTTTGACTAATCCCTGTACGACTGAGGGCTTACACAAACTCAGATATAAGGACCTTTCAATTCATTACAGTTAAATATAAAAGCTTTAGACTTAGTCCTTGTTATGCAGCCTGAGTCCTGGATCTACAACCTGCCCGTCTGGCCTCTCTCAATAAGGGCCAACCCGAGGTTTCTCGCATTATTTCCTTGCCGATGCAGGAAGGTCGAAGAACAGAATACATGTATTAAGGACACTGGCTGAATCAAATATGGACCAACGGCTCCTATGTGTTTGTTATTATTGCCTAACCTGGCAAGAGCCAGATTGATGATTGTGTAGAACTCTAATGCGTTCTCCACAATATCAATCTGGGACTTCTGCAGGAGAATCCTTTCGGGGAAAGGAGGGATAAGTAGCAGAATACTTCAAGCTGATTGGGCGAAGTGACGCTGTGTGCCCGCCTACCAAGGTTTGACTTAAACCAATCCCAGTAACATTATGTCGTCATCGGCGTGCACAAAGCGCCTCTTGCTGTTAATCTTTCAAAAAATAAATTGGAGATTCTGCTGAAACTGACTTGATAGTCTCAGCTACGCGTCCGTCCTCCTGCGTAGCCATGTTTGTTTTGCTTCGGCCCGGCACTTCTTGCTTTCGTCAAACCCGGATATCCCGCCCTAAACCCCCAGACTGGCGCGTGATTGGCTTGAACACCTAGACGTTCTACTTGAAAAGGGTTGGCGGGAGCCGGGCAAGATCTATTCTCGAGTGTTTGTGAACTCACAAATACCGCGAGAATTCAGCTTGCATGCAAGGTTAATTATTGCCTTTCCTGTGTTCAAACGGTTTTCTCTCTGATCTGTCATTGACGAATCGACAACTTTGTAAAGTCCTCCGAGACAACTACTTTTTTAGATTCAGGCCTGTACAAAAATATTAGATCTAATGCTTAAACAACATTATTGGGTCAGTATGCTTCCGTGAAGATGTTTGGAAAGTATCATGCTTCCATCTTCAAATAATATCATCATATTATCAATATTATTCATATTATCATTACCATCTTTCAGCT